ACACACACACACACACACACAAACATGCACACACACACAAACATGCACACACACGCATGCTTACAGTCACATGCATAATAATATATAAATGAACAGTAAAATAAACAGTAATAATCTTAAGCTAGAGATACACATTCAGTATTCTGACTGTAACTCAATGTTATTCTGATGCAAGCTTTAAAGTCATATGATTTCGTGTAACATGATGGTTAAGATGGAAAAAGGTTGATGGGTGATGGTAAAAAAAGACCTTCGTTATCTTTCTTTGTTAAAGATCTGAAGCCTATGTCTTTTACTTCTGACTGATGTTTTTATTTGAGAGAACAATGGATATTTATTGTCCAAAAAGATGGAATTGGGTTTTTTAGCACAAGCTGTAATATGCAATTAATTCATCCAAGTACGGGAATGTAGATGTTGAAAATGTGCATGCTTTCCGTATTAATCAATTAATTTTTCTTTATCTTGTTGTCTTGTGTTCCCGGCCCATGGTGTTATGCAGAAATTGATCATGCTCTCTATAGTTGAATGATAGAATATGGACATAAATGTTTTATGAACTTTAAAACACATGAGCTTCCTTTGAAAAAATAGTCTTCTGTTCACGTTTTTAATGCGGGAGACAAGTGTGGACACGCCAGTTGACTTTGTTGTAACACCCAAACACTTATAGTCTGACACTTACTCGACGTTTTCACTTTTGCTTTCGAGGGGCTGCTGGGGCAGGTTCTTTTTTCTAAAGTCAACAACAAAAGAACATTTGCTGCATATCTCACTTGAAGCAAATCCGTTTCAATATATTATATAGACAACTTGGAAACACATGTGTCACTTTTCCCATAAAACTTCGACAGCTACAGAGTTGAAAGTTGGCAAGTACCTGAAAAACAGATAGATGGGTCCCCATGCCGGAGCAGCCGGATTTCTTATTTACTATTTTCCTGAATTTAGACAAATATATTATTTGACAAAAACTTGTCGCCTTTCTTTGGCCTTTGTGATTATTCCACTGAGAAACGAAACAAATCTGCGTAGCCGTCCTTTACAGCGGAAGTGCCGGAAGTGATATTTCGCGAGGCGCATCTTATTTCGAGAGTATAGATCTAGAATCTAGACCTTTTAATTGTTTGCGTCTCTCAAGATTTATTGCTCCATTCCTGTAGAGTGTAAATGTAGTAGGCCAATGACTTTCAGTTGATATTAATGCACCGATTATTCCTTTCTTCAGAAGGGGGCTAAGCTAGTTTGAAGATAATTGGCACATCGCATTTGTATCAACAAAGTATCGATAACCGCATTTTAGCCGTATCGATCAGGCATGTTTTGCCGCAAAGATCATTCATAACAAAATAGTTCACTCGGCCAAAAACGTGTCCGCAGAAGTCCGCGTATTGGTTCAGATGGCGCCGCAGTCTTTGTTTTGAAGCTTTCTTTCGTTTCTACAGAAGAAGAATAATAGAAATAGCACAGTTTGTTAGTTTCGCTCTTATTGTTTTTCACACTAGTAGGGTAACTCTGTTCTCAAAGTCCTCACTTTTTTAAAGAGCGTCCCGCCGAATTTTGAGGACACTTTTTTAATTGGCTCAAAAAGAGGAGTGAACTGTTTTGTTTTGTACGATCTTTGGTTGTCTCACAAAGTGGATACGATTTTATTATTTTTATTATTACTATTATCTTGCCGCACAAATTGGGTACGTTTTTTTTTGTTTGATTATTTTGCAGTTGTTTAATTGTTTTGCCACAAAGTGGATATACCCCTCCGATCATGCACAGCCGACTAATCGATCAACTGTGGACCCGCACCTCCTCACCTCAGCCCTACATCACAGAAGGGTCGCTGTCGCTAACGTTAATTGTTGCAGCGATCAGGGAGAGAGTCTATAAAAGCGCGGGGTGTCGCCGAGGTCAGATGTTGCCATTGAAGGCACCGGGGTGATTAGTTCCTTCATTGGATCATTGTGTGTGCGGCTTGTTCTTGTCGTTCCTCTCGGAGGGGGAGACCTGTGTGTGCGCGCGTGTGTATCTGTTTGTGTGTGTGCGATTCGTGGATATTCTTCTTATTTGGCGACAAACACCCGTCCGTTCTCGGGTGTGTCCT